GGGGGCTCATATCAAGGAATTCAAGAAGGAAGGAAAGGTTGTGAAACTAACTGCGGTAGCACTTGTACAGTACTGCTTGATGTGCCTGAACTATGAAATGATGTGACGTCTGGATTAGCTCCTTGTACCATAGTTTTAAGAAATAAAAGAAAGGAAGATCTTACTGCCTGCGCTTACTGCGAGTTCATCATCCCGGTTTGCATCAGCGATCCGAAAGGACTCGCACCAGCACCGCGTGCATCTCTGGGTGGGGCTGTTTACAAACATCAGGCCGTTAGGGAGCTCCACATTCACTCAGCATCACCCCAGCAGCACCCTGGTCCTGAGGAGCAGTGGCTGGGAGCCCATCAGCACTCTATCCCAGGAAGCTCGTCTGCCCATTCCATCCCCTCACTCTGATCTTTAAGCCTTTTTTTTAAATTAAAAGATCATTTTATTGGTGCTCTTACAACTCTTATAGCAATCCTTACATCTATTGTATCAAGCATATTTGTACATATGCTGCCATCATTTTTTTCCCTAGACATTTGCTTTCTATTGAGCCCTTGGTATCAGCTCCTCTTTTTTCCCCTCCCTCCCTCCACACTCTCGTGACCCCCTGATAGATTATTTTTAGGCCTTTTTATCTGTGAGTTTCCGACGACATTCTGACTGAGGACAGATCTTCACAAATCCATTTCCACAGAAAAGTCAAGTTGAAGATAAAAAAAATTGTTCTTGGAAGCTGGTTCTTATGCCAAAAAAAAGCAAAGAAACTCACTGCCATCGAATAGATTCCAACTCAGAGAAATCCTATAGGACAGGGCATCCCAGATGGCAAGGTTGGCTGTAGCAACAGTTTCAGCCTCTGTGGGTTTCTAAGACTAATTCTTTATGGGAGTAGAAAGCCTCATCTTTCTCCCATAGAGCAGCTGGTGATTTCGAACTGCTAACCTTGCAATTAGCAGTCCAACATGTAACCACTACGCCACCAGGGCCCCCTCTAGAGCAAAAAAGGCAGGGTTAACTAGAAAAGGTATGAAGATAAACAGGCGGCAATCTAGCTGAGAAACAGCAAAGCTCACATGGAAGAAGCACACCAGCCTATCCTGACACGATTGCTGAAGACAAAGCGGTGCATAAACAAATGTGGTGAAGAAAGCTGATGGTGCCTGGCTGTCAAAAGATGTAGAGTCTGGGGTCCTATAGGCTTGAAGATAAACAAGTGGCCATCTAACTGAGAAACAACAAAGCCCACATAGAAGAAGCACACCAGCCTGTGAGATCACAAGGCATCCAAGGGATTAGGTATCAGGCACCAAAGACCAAAAAAATTCACAGCATTGTGAATGAGGGGGAGTGCAGAGTGGGGACTCAGGGCCCATCTGTGGGCAACTGGGCATCCCCTTGCAGAACAGTCTCGGAAGGAGACGAGCCAGTCAGGGTGCAGTGTAGCACTGATGATGAAACACACAACTTTCCTCTAGTTCTTGAATGCTCCCTTCCCCCACACTATCATGACCCCAATTCTACTTACAAATCCAGCTGGGCCAGAGGATGTACACTGGTACAGATAGGAACTGGAAACACAGGGAATCCAGGGCGGATGATCCCTTCAAGACCAGTGGTGAGAGTGGCGATACCAGGAGGGTGGAAGGAAGGTGAGGGAGAAAGGGGGAACAGATTACAAGGATCTACATATAACCTCCCCCCTGAGGGAAAGACAGCGGAAAAGTGGGTGAATGGCGATGTTGGATGGTGTAAGATATGACAAAATAATAGTAATTTATAAATTATCAAGGGTTCATGGGGGAGGAGGGAGCAGGGAGGGAGGGGAAAAATGAGGAGCAGATACCAAGGGCTCAAGTAGAAAGAGCCATAAGCGCCCCCAATAAAAGATTTTTTTTTAAGTAGAAAAAGTTGATGAAAAAGTGTACAGCTATCATGAAGGGACTGTAGGATACTTTCAAGAGCCTTCATTGATGGTGATTATTATATTCTTTGTTCTCCTGTTAGTTTCAGGCTCGGCTTGTTTCCGTGGGCAATGGCAGATCACTATCACTACACAGTGCATAGGCAGGGCCCACCACTGTCTCTGGAGCCAGGGGCCATGGTAAGAGGGAAGCATCTTTCAGGAGATGTCGAGCTGAAAGACTAAAGAGACTCTCCATGGACATTCTGTGGGGTGAGGAAGGATTGCTTTGAACCATTCTTGAGAGCGGCATCGCATGCAATACCCCAATAACTCGTTTGTTAATGATCTCATTAACTAGCTAACATTTAATTTGGGTCTTCAATGTAAGACAGGAAAATCAGAGTTGAGTGGGCCTGAACTTGGTGAGACAAAGACTGTGGGACGGACATCATGTTCCCACCCCAGATGGCCAGGTGAGCTGGAGAACAGGTTCAGAGTGAAGCAGCTGTTTCTCTGCCCTCCATCACACTTACGATCCGGGGAACCTGTAAGTGGGAGATAGAAGATACGCGTTCTGTTCCTCCTCTTTAAAAGGGGTGTGTGTGAATAAGATAGTTATGGAGACCATAAACATCATGGGGAATCTGAGGAAGACTAGGAGAAGGCACACATATTCACCAAATTTTGTAGGAATTTAGAATGCTCAGTCTGCTGCCGGGAAGTATACGTTATGCTGCAGGAACAGAAAGTCTCAGGGGCTTATGACAGCAAACGTGTTTATCTTAGTCACAGTAAGACGTACTGGTACATCTTCGTCATGTGTCATGTGTTAGTTGGAGGCTCTGCTCCGTGACTTCTCACTCACGGAACGTAGATGATGGATTCTGTACACCAGCTGCGGCATCCCTAGCTGCCGGGTCAGGGAAAGGCAATGCGACATATTGGCCTGCAAGGTTTCCAGTTGGAAGCGGTATACACAATCCCAAGTCACAAGGGACCCTGCTGGCAAAGTGGGTTATATATAGGGCTGCTAACCACAAGGTCTGCAGTTCAAACCCACCAGCCACTTCTAGGAAGAAAAATGAGGTCTTCTGCTCCTGCAGAGCTTTATCGCCTCAGAATGTGGCAGTTCTGTGCTGCTCCCTGGGGTTGCTGTGGGTCAGAATTGACTCAAAGGCCGAGAGCATGGGGGTTTGTTTGTGTGATGGGTGCATCTTTTATGCACCTGCAAGAAAAGATCTAAATTTTCACAGACAAAACATCTGCCACACCAGGTGAGGCATCACCCCTGAATTTGAGCTCTAAGTTTTGCATCGTGGTTACGCCTGGCTGTGATCTGCAAGGTCCGCAGTTCAAAACTATCAGCCTCTCTGTTGGAGAAAGATGGGGCTTTTTACCCGGTAACGAGTTACAGTCTGGGAAACTCACAGGGACAGTTCTACCTTGTCCGGTGCATCACTATGAGTCGGCATCGACTTGACAGCTGTGAAGTCTTGCAAGGTTGCTACGATGGAGGCTCGTTTATATGTTTCTTCAGAATACGGGCAATGTATGGGAGTGGTAGACAGCCATCTCCCTTCAATCCGGTGGTTGTCTACAGCCAGGCCAACAGCAAGTTTTCTCCTAGAGGGTGTAAGCTGAACTTTCTGGACATGTGCTTAACATTTGAGTGAGAACCAAGGAGCTGAATAATTCTCCCTCCAGTGTCACACTGGGTTGCCTACAAGAGAGGTTTGGCGCCTCACTGGCAAAATTAGCTCCTGCTCATCACGAAGTTAAAGCAGAGTGCTTAGAATCCTTTCAACCCTGAGACTTTTTGTCTCAGCATGCAAAGTATGAGGGGGCTACAAACAGTTTGCGGCAAAAGTGGAATGAAAGGTAATGGCATTTTCCCATAAATTTTTTTGAAGCCCCTTCATGTATCACAGAGAAGGGAGATCTAGAAAAGTTGTCATGAGAGAGTTTAGCAAGAGTGTAAAAGACTCAATAGGCTAGCCGATGTCTTGGGCATCTTCAAGTGCTGACCACCTCACTCAAACCCCGTGTCATTTCAGTCCCGTCATCATCTCCACCAGCCCCTCTTTCTTCATTATCCACACTTGACATTCCCTCAGTTCCCCACCCCCTCAGTCCCCCACCCCCGCCATATCTTTTGATAGCTGGGCACCATCCGCTTTCTTCACCACATTTGCTTATGCACCCATTTTGTCTTCAGCGATCATGTTGGGAGGGTGAGCATCACAGAATGCCAGGTGGTTAGAACCAAAGTGTTCTTGCATTGAAGGAGGGCTTGAACAGAGGCCCAAGTCCGTCCACCGCCTCAGGGTATTGTCATATAAACATAGGTACATAGACCAAAACCTCTATTTTTATGCATTCATGTGTTTACATGTGTACACACCTATGTTTATGCCTTTATCCATAGTTTTCTTCCTATGTTTATGCCTTTATCCATAGTTTTCTTCCTAGATCTTTCCTCTGTTTCCTTTTACTTTCCTCCTGGGGAGGAGCCCTGCAAGTGCAGCCTTTAGGTGCATTTCCCTAGCCAGACGTCTTTAACCAAAGGGCCTCCCTTCCTTGTCCCCTCATAGAAAGTCTGCTACATCGACCATCCTCATTTTACAGATGTAAACATTGAGACCCAGCAAAGGACCATACTTCCTCAACTCAAAAGCATAGTGGAGACAGGGCCAGCCACCCATGTCTTTGAGACTCCTGAGAAATGGCGAGATCCGGAGTCCCTGTGGCTGGTGATCCAGAGATCAGCCAAGAAGTGGTCTTTCTAGATCATTTACCTTAAAATGAGAAGTTTGATCTCTATTCCTCTTCCTCTTTTATTTTTCTTCATTCATAAATTTCCCGTTATTGAAAAAAATGGGACTATGCCTACTCATAAATCTCTGCCTGCCTAAGGAGGGGCTGCACTCACCTCTTTGAATGCTGTCATAGTTTGCATACTTGACGTGGTGATGTATTAATGGTTCTTCGCTGATCATTTCTAACCTTTCTGGTATTTCCTTCAGCTAAGGTGATGGCAATAAGTTGTGATATAATTCTTCAAGAATTTGGCCTTTCTGAATGCTCATCTCTTTGTTTCTTTCTGCAGTACCTTATCAACAGAACCCTTACACTGCCCGAGGCAGCTCCAGTGTCATCCAGTGCTACCGCTGTGGAGACACGTGCAAAGGGGAAGTTGTTCGTGTCCACAACAACCACTTCCACATCAGATGTTTCACCTGTCAAGGTAGGAGGTCCCCTTTGCAAACTCCCTTCTCTGATTGCTGGCCATGCTCTCATGCCAGGGCATGCCACCAGGGCAGCAGGAAGAAAAAACTCACAAGCAGTAGAGACATCTACAAAGCCCTGAAGAGACATTCCCCAGCCCCTTCTTATGGGAATTCTCCCTGAAGCAGTGTGACGTGAAGAGAGAGTTTAGAGTGAGGTCAGCACAGGGATGCTGTTGGAGAGACAAAGTCTGGTGATCTCTGAGTGGGAGGCCTTGACCCAGAGCTCTGCAAGCTCAGCTTTTACATCAAAAGAGACACCTGACTTGTGTCAATAGATCAACTTAAGAACTAATAAGAGAGCATGCTATGATGGCTATACCATAGCTTAACTAATTTCAGATGAGCACCTATTCTGTATCAGTGTGACGACCCTCAAAGATTATGGTTCACAAGAGAGAAGATACATCTTGACTTCAGTAAAGGTGGGCAATTTAGATGTGGATGATGTTGGGTTACCTCTAATCATTATCATTTCCCTCTGGCTTATTTATGAGCCCGGTGGCATGGTGGCTTATGACTTAGCTGCTAACCACAAGGTCAGCAGTATGGATCCATCAACGACGCCATGGACAAATGATGAGGCTTTCCATTCCCATAAAGATTTATAGCCTTGAAAACCCAGGGGGAAGTTCTACTCTGTCCTGTAGGGTTTCTGTGAGTTGGAATTGACTCGACAGTACTGACTTGTTGATTTGGTTTGGGGTTTTTTTTTAAGATACCCAAGCCTGGAGTTCCTAAAGATAAGTAGCAGCAGGAAGGCAGAGGGATGCTCTCTAAAGAGCTGACCTTCTGGCCCAAGCAGAGCAACACTCCCTCCCACAAGCTCCCTGACCAATGCCTCTCCAGCTTCCACTTCTTAAACTCTTCTTCTAGAATTCCCTACTCCACAGAGCAGCCATTACTATTGGATTGCCCTGTGGGTTTAGAAAATACTTGCTCCACACTTGTAATTCCCACCTGTTGGTTCTAGATTTGCCCGCAGAAAGTTCGAGAAGTCCTTTGTGTGTCTTTTCCTACAACTGCCCTTCAGATATTTTTAGCCAAGAGTTCCCCAAATTATATGACAGTTCCGTAAATGAGACCTCATCTGAAATGATGCCTGCTTGTGTTATCCCCCTGCAATCTTCTTCTGAAAGTGCAGTGCCCAGAGCAGATCACAGTCCTCAAGTAGCGTCAAATACCGCAGACATTCCTGTGAATGTAACCAACATTGAATTGACTTTCTGAAGACCCCCTTCACACCATTAACTGATATTGAATTTAAAGTCAATTAAAGTCAACTGATCTTTTCCGGTCTGTAGCTACTTCTAAGAACCTCTGTTTCACTTATCGGAGATTGACTTCCCTAGCCATGGAGAAAATCCTGGACTACTTTGGCACTGGGCTCTGCACTGAGAAAATAAATTACATATTCATCTCCCCTAATCTGTTTGTGAAAGCATAAGAAGGGTTTTAATTGCTATGATTTAAATTTTACATTGAGAATTTGTAAGCCCGTTTGGTGTAAGTTGACTTGCATAAGTATGGGGTAAATGGGTGAGTGGCTATTTTTATGTCCTTAAATTGATGTTGTTGTTGTTGTTGTTGAGTGCCATTGAGTTGGCTCTAACCCACCGCCATCCTGGGTATAATAATGAAGCATCGCCCGGTCCTGTAGTATCAACAGTTGCCAGTATGTTGGAGTCCATTTTTACAACCACTGTGCCAATCCATCCTGGGGAAGGTTTTCCTCCTTTACCCTGAACATCTATCTACACGATGCTGTCTTTCTCCAGGAACGAGTCCTTTCCAATAGCACGTCCAAAATACATGAGGTGCAGTCTCATCATCCTCACTTCTCAGGAGCATTCTGGGGGTGGGGGCTGTACCTCTTCTGAGATATATTTGTTTGTTCTTCTGAATGCCTCTGGTATATCCAGTGTTCTTATTGCAAATGTGTCGTCCATTATTCTTCACTCTATCTTGTTTATTGCCCAAATTTGAAAGCATGCAAGCTGACTGAAAAGACCGTGGCTTGGGTCAGATGTCCCTTCATCCTCAAAATAACACCATCACTTTTTTAACACTCTGAGGAGGTCTCAGACAGAAAATGTGCCCCGTGCAATATGATATTTGACTTCTTGACTGTTGCTTCCATGAGCATTGATTGTGGACCTCAGTAAAATGAAATCTGTAACAATTCCCATCTTCTCTCCATTTCTCGTGTGGTTGCTCATTGGTCCGGTTGTGAGGTGCAATCCTGAAGGCTGCAGTCTTTGGTCTTCCACAGAACACGCTTCATGTCAAGAGGTTGTGCCCCCGCATGTTAGAGGTTGTCAATGAGTCCTCCTTAGCCATGAAGGCCACGTTCTGCTTCATGTAGTCTGGCTCCTGCGTTACGTGCTCAGTTTGCGACTGGATGAATATGGGGAAAGCATACAAAGGAAAAAGACAATAAAATTATTGCAAAGAGGTTTGGGTTATAACTCAAAATTGCATTATTAAGGAAGTGTACCATTTACCTTTTATTTAAGGGAGGCTAAATAGCTTAAGAGAGTTTATCTAGCTCATAATTCTCTGATTTGACTGGACAAGCTGTCCAGGCTGGCTAGCCTTGATGGTCTCTACTGCCTCATCTTGACGTTAGGCCTTTAGCTGATCGGTCAACTGGCAATAATTGGCTGGTTTGGGGCCTTGATGCCTCCAAATAGTGTGTCATCCTCCAATAGGCTAGTTTGGATTCATTCACATAATGATCTTAGAGGTCCAAGTGCTGTAAGAGAACCCAAACCAAGCTCACTGCCATCAAGTTGGCGGCAGCTCACAGCAACCCTGCAAGAAAATAAGCCTCAGTAAACATGTGCGTTTCAATTTCTGGCGTGGGTCATACTTGTTAACGGCTCATTGACCAAGAGAAGTCAGGTGGCCAACCCGGATGGCTGTTTATTGGGAAATAAAAAGACTTTGCCTTTTGATGGTCAGCTCTCCAGTAATTTATTTCAAAAGTGAGGATGCTGAGGGAGAAAGAGGTTCGTGCCATTTGACAATCTACCTCAGAGAGGTTGGATAATCTCTTTCAATAGAGGTTTATCAAAAAGGGGGCGAAGGACATTCTCTTCTGGAATATTTTCAATATTAAATTCCACAGAAGTAAAACAAAACGGAGAATTTTTGTAACCAACGGTCTGAAAATTAATGATCTTAAATAGCCTTCTCATTTGAAAAATATAAAATTCTCCATGAAATCTATTTTCTCAACTCTCTGAACATGCACTACTGCATCTGGAATGAAAAGATGGCACCTGGCGGGCGGGGAGGAAAGGCGGCACCTGGAGAGTCAAGACCAAGAAGGAAAGCAGGAACCCTGGGGCAAAGGACCATGCCAGCTTTCGTCCCGTGGCTTCACTCAGCTCTGAAGACCCCAGTCTTTGACCTGGATGACTGCATGAGTCACCGAAAACGGGAGGCATTACCTGGAACCGAAGCAAAGCGGGAGCCTAATAATTGACCCCTGCGTACAGCTGAGACTCGTGGCTAAATCGTGCTGTCTGCGTGAAGATGACTAATAGATCATGCTGGAGAGACAGCAAATGTCAGTCTCAACATTGGCATTGGGTGGAAGGGAATATGACTTGTATGAAAATGTGTGCCCAGAATCCATTATTTCAATGGATCCAGACACTATACCTATGTGTATATTTCTTTGGTGTAGACAACAATGGCAACAACAAAAAGTTAGGCAGAGAATTTAAAAGAAAATGATCCAACATTTAGCAAATGGCAGAAACATATAATAATTCTCTTTCAATGAAATAGAATTTACTCTAGGTTTTAAAGAATTCCAACAGAAAAGAAAATGATCAGGAAAATGAGCAATTTACAGTAAACAACCAAATGAAACCACAAATCACAACGGAGCACGAGTCAACAGAAACAGTGAAGCCCAAATCAGAGCCCCAGAAACTTCTTCCTGGAATTTTCTGACCACATATGATAAACATATTCACTACGTTTAAACAAGTAAGTGATGCTAGAAAATATGATCAAGAAGCAAAACATGATAAAATTAGCAAAGCAGGTTGTTAAAGCAAAAAAAAGTATAGAAATAAAAAATATATAGTGTTTAAAATTTTAAATCCAAGGTATGAATTAAATCAATTAGATATTAATGCAAAGATAATTAATAATCTGGAGAATGAGCCAAAATAAATTGCACAAATGTAGCACACAACTATGAAAAGATAAAAATAGAGAAAAAGTTGATATATGGATAATAGAATAAGGAGGCCTGATGTATAGAGTTCTAGAGGTATATAATTAATTAGAGCTAGTATGTAATTAGAGTAGTATGTAATAGGGAATTATTTAATTAGAGTTTCATGTGTGTAGAAGGTTAACTCTGGTTGCATAGTGCTTCTATAGTAGAGTGATATATAATAGAGAAAATTGATATGGTAACAATATTTGAAGAGTTTGTATCTGTGAATATTCTGCAAATATAGAAACATACAAGTTTTCAGATCCAGGCTCCATCATAAATTCTAGCTGATAAATACAGAATAAACCCCTTAAACACAGCATAATAAAATTGCAGATTACCAAAGACAAGAGAAGATACTAAGAGCAGCCAGAGAGATGAGAAAGATTTTCTACATATGAGTGATAAATAGGTTTTGGCTTCCTAGAAGCAACAAGGAAACCATGAAACAGTAGAATGTGTTCAATGCACTGAAAGAAAAACTGTCCAATTAGAATTACGTTTTTTAAAGTTATATTTGGAGAACAATGACAAACCTATAGGTAACTTTATAGATAATAGTGAAAGACTAATAAGAACAAGGCAAGGATGTACTTTCCTACTACTTCTAGTTAACACTGTACTGGGGGTCCATGCCAAGGCAACTAGCAAAAAAATAAAAGGCATTCCTAATTGTAAAGTGAAACATAAAACTATCTCTACTTTCAAATGACAGAAAAATTTTAAGAAATCTACTTTTTAAATGATTAGAAATACTTAAGAAAATAATTCAATTTACAGTAGCATCAACATGAATAAATATCAATGCAGAAAAAACGTTGAAATATGAATGCAGAAAAAAATAAAATGAATATTCTACAAGAAAATATTGAGAAAAAAAAGAAAATATTGAAAGAAATGAAAGAAAACCTAAATCAATGGGGAAAATTCCCATGTTCATGAATTGGAAAACTTAATGTTGTTAAACATCTGGTTTTTCTTTTAACAGAACTCAATCTCAAAATTTACCTGGAAATTTAAGGAAAGTAAAATGGCTAAAACAATCTTGGAAAAGACGGGGAAGTTTGGAGGACTCACCATTTTTCCACTGAAAGCTTATTAAAAAGCTACAAAAGAGCAAAGTTGGAAGACCCACGCTTTCGAATTTCAAAACTTACTACAAAGCAGTAATAAACTAGTGTGATAGTCTTTGGCTGACGGACAGATATGTAGAAATCAAGTGGAACAGAAGTGCGAGTTCTTTACATTTATGGTCAGTTGATTTTCTACGAGGGCCAAACTAAGCTCACAAGCAAAAAAGAGTCGTGTCTGTAAACAAGGCGGAGACAGCCGGATGGCCGCAGGCGAAGCAGCGCAGCTGCGTGCTCGAATGTCCGTGCCCAAGGCACAGAGTAATTGTCCTGGGTCCAGACACCAGAACACTGCAAAGCAGTGACAAGGCACGACTGTAACTGCAGGACCCACAGAGACCTGTCTCAGCAATGCAACCCGGAGAGGAGGGAACAAGCACACCCGAATGAATGCAGAATGGTTTCATCGATAGAAAGTTAAAACAGGAAGACTGAACACATAGTACTACGTATGGATGCGCACACTGATGGTGGGCCTACACAGAAAAGGAAAGGAAAGATACATTCAGCGGCATCCCAACTGAAGCGTCAGCTCCTCAGACATACTGCCGAAAGATCGTCTTGACCAGAGACCAAACTCCCTTCTGAGGGGCTGGAAATATTCTATTTCTCAACACGAATTGTGGGCACATGGGACTGTATTTTATATCTTTTATGACTCTATCCATTTACTGTGCGTACAATGTGAGTACTTCACAATGGAAGTATTGAAACAATGGATTTGATCACCCTCAGGGAACCTTCCACCTTTTTGATTTGGACTTTTCCTAAAACTCAGACTCACCCGAAAAGTTTAAAATCAACAAAATCACATGACAAAATCCCGGACTCCCAGAACGGAAAGAGTCCTCAGTTGCCACCCAGCCCGGGCATTTCACCAAGGAGGTCACTGAGCCTCAGAGAGCTGAGGGGCCGGATGGGACCTGCACCAAGGTTCAGCGGCAGCAGGGCACAGTTGTGTGCAAGGCTTCCTCCTAACAGCTGTATTTGCAGTGTGCTTCTTTCTGACACGCATAATGACTGTGCCGGCTGTGTGAACCCCTCATCAGTTCCAGCCCACACACCCCCACGGAAGCTCTTCCTGTTATTCTGAGCACCTGGACATGTCTCCAGTTGGTTCCGCCTCTCTTCGACCCTCCAGTCCCCCACCGTACTTCCAGGAGCCCCTCAGATTCTCATCAACCTTTGCATCCTTGATACCAAAAACACTTCCTCCTCCAGCTCCTTAGGGGAAATGGAGGGACTGGCTGTTCCAAGCTTTCTAAGGACCTCCTGGCTTTCTCCCTGGGAGAGGTGGCCCTGGGGGTGGAGTTGGCAAGTGAAACAAAGGCGAGAAAAGAAGGGGGGAAACAAACAGGAGCTATTTCCAACAAGGTCGGAGGCCCTGACCTAACTCATTCCACAGCCCTGAAGTCAATCGATCCACCACCTGCGTAACCCAGAACAGCCTGTCCTCTGGCCCAGCCTCCCCTCCAGAGGAGGTATTGATGGATGGGATGAATTTTCTTTTTCTTTTTTTTTTTTTTAACATTTTATTAGGGGCTCATACAACTGTTATCACAATCCATACACACATCAGTTGTGTAAAGTGCATTTGTACATCATTCCCAAAACATTTTCTCTCCACTTAAACCCCCGACATTAGGTCCTCATTTTTCCCCTCCCTCCCCGCTCCCCCCTCCCTCATGGGCCCTTGATAGTTTATAAATTGGTATTTTGTCATATCTTGCCCTGTCCGACATCTCCCTTCATCCACTTTTCGGTTGTCTGTCCCCCAGGGAGGAGGTCACATATAGTTCCTTGTAATCGGTTCCCTCTTTCCTACCCACTCTCCCTCTACCCTCCCTGTTTCGCCACTCATACCACTGGTCCCGACCTGATGGAAGACGGAACCTGCCCCACCTCCCACCTCCACCTCCACCGCCACCCCACCCATGTGCCCTGCCTCTCTCCACCGGGGTGGGCTCCCTGGGTCTCCAACTCCACTACACACTGAGTTTAAGCTATTTAGGCATATGGTAATCCCTGTAGTAGCCTATCTTTCTGATAGACTCAGGGAACCTGAGTTCCCAAAGAAAACGTAGGTCTTCTCAAGTTGAGCCCCTTTGTTTTACAAATAAGCAGGAAAAAGCCTCAGAGGTGAGAAAGCAACCTTCCTTGTCACCTGCAGTTATGGCTCCCAGACCACTGGGTCTTGCCTGTGCCCTGCCTGCCAAGCTGCCCACCTCCTCTGCCCGCACTCTGCTTGACCCTGGAAGCCCACAGAGGTGAACAAATACTTATGAAATATGCCTGGCATGTATTCATCTGGAAGTTCCTTTCATTTTTTAACCCACTTTTGCTGAACAACTTTCCCTGCCAAAGATGAGGTATTTACGGGAGTTATGTGCCCCCAGCCCAGGCCTGGTGGGCAAACTTGCGGACTCGTAAGTCCCATCTCCTTAGGCTCCCCCTCATTGGCCACTCTTGCAAATGTGACTCATGTTGACAAAGTGCTTGGGAAGCCAGAGGGCCTGTTGATTAGTGGACAACAAGAGCTGGAACTCGCAGCTGAACCAGTTGTTTGTGGCCTGGCCAGCTCCTCTTTCCAAGGGCAGCCTCTTCGGAAAGTCAACAATCGGTGTCTGCACGGCGAACAAAAGCATGCAGGACACCAACTCAGGACAAGGGGAGCTGGTCCCGGAACTTGAATGCATGGCCCAGTTCCCTTCCATTGACTTCTTGCCTCCCTCTTCCTGCCTGGGCCATCCTGTGCCAGCTGGATCAAGACACTCGGAGGACTGCTGGCTCTTCCTGCTCCAGCTGTTATGTGTTGACTTCATAACTGAACTTTCCGAGGGAAACTCTTGTCCCCCACTTCTCAGTCCTTTGGAAGGTTGGCCCCTGGGATGCAGTTGTGCACATACCTCGAAGTCCCTGCCCGCCTGTCCTCTGTCTTTATATTGTCCACAAGAGATTTCATAAAATACCTTTGGCTATTTGTTGACTGCTCAGAAGCCACCGAGGCAGTTGATCATTTTTGCAGCTGGGTTGCCCTTTCTTACCATCTTCTCTCTGCTTTTGTGTATGTTTGAGATCCAGCCTCCACCCAATCCACCCCTGACAGCTTTTAGAAACTAGGCCGGGAATCACCATGACCCTTCCGTGTCCCACAAGTCTGGCCTTCCTAAGTTAGATTCAAGTTCTCCTCCAAGTGGCCTGAATACCATGTTCCTGTAGGGACCCTCCACCCCTACAAATGCCGTCCCGCCCCAGCCTGCTGCCGCCTGAACGCACCTTTCAACTTCCTGTGCCCATTCTGTCCCTCCTCAAGTGTACATCAAGTGTCCCAGGACCTTCCCTCTCTGGGGGACTCTCTCCTTCCCCACACTCACTTAGCAATTGTGCCAGCACCAGGGGTAGGCCCTGAGTCTGTGATACCTGACAGCCTTCTGTATGGTCTTCTCCCTGCACACAGTTGGGGGAATTCTGTCTCGCCACTCTTAGTTAAGAACAGCTCACCCCTTTCTGCTGTGGTGGCGACAGGTTGTAAATACCCAGTCCTCCCTCACATTGCCATCCTAAGCTGTCTCCACTTTGGGATCGGCAGGATGTGGTCCCCACAGTGCTCTGTGCTGGCACAGAATCAGGCACACAGGAAGTGCCCGGGTAAGTTTAATGGGATGGTCCGTGAAACTACTAGCCATGAAGAGTTAGGTGATCCACCGGGATCTTCCCCTTCCCATCCATGCACTGAGGGGCTGTACAGCATCAGAGGTTCTCCATCCGTGTGCTGCACTGTCACCTGGGGAGTGAGTTGACATGCAGATGCCTGGGCCCACATCCAGAGTGTCTGACTCAGCCCCAAGCATCTGCCTCTTACCAAGCTCCCCCAGTGATTCCATGTCAGTGGTCACTGGGACGATCTTTGAGAAACACTGGTCCCAAAGGTCCATGAGATCCAGTGTCCACTCATGGCGTAGACACCCTCCTCCCCTCCGACAAGAGCCTGGCTTCAACCTGCCCTTTGCCTCCTTGTTTCCCCAAGTGTGTGGCTGTGGCCTGGCCCAGTCGGGCTTCTTCTTCAAGAACCAAGAGTACATTTGCACCCAGGACTACCAGCAACTCTATGGCACCCGCTGTGACAGCTGCCGGGACTTCATCACAGGCGAGGTCATCTCCGCCCTGGGCCGCACCTACCACCCCAAGTGCTTCGTGTGCAGCCTGTGCAGGTGAGCAGGAGGGAACATTAGGGCTGTGGGACCCCTCATAGTTCATAGGCTTTCATAGGATTCATAGGCTTTACACTGGACACTTGGGTTTCTAGAATCTAGACTTTAGGTTCCCAAATTTATCTGGCCCTCTGCCCACTTTTCAGAAAGAAAAAAAATTTTTTTTTACTCACCACCTCCCCTGTTGTTCCATACCCCTAATCCAGGATAAAGTGTAGGCATCTGCTTTTGCAGCC